GCAAAAACTTAAAAAATTTTCATATTAACAGTGTTGATAGATTCAGTTCCTCTCTAAATATATTCATGGCCGAAACGTACCTAGTAAACTCATCCGCTTACCCATTTTCCAATAAATTTTAGTGCCGCGATTCCCAAGACTCGCAGAAGCGTGACGCAGTGACAATGCCTTTTCCACTGACTACGAGAAAGAAATTCAACACAAAAATTCTTGTCGAAATCCAACATTGGAATACATTAGTATGTAATCATAGGGGTTTTTCCCACAAAATATTACCATGGCAATACGACCTTTCGTTCCTGCACCCAGCTTCCCTGAATCAAAGCTGCCCAAAACTCTACCGGAAGCAAATAAAGATGCGTCTTTAAGCATTAGTGGGTGACGAACTTTATACCCCCTTAGTACGAAAGCATGCAATGCTTTGAACCCTACAAATCTTGCTACGATTTCATGCCTTTTACATCACCGAGCACCACACAAGAGCTTCACAAGCGGGGAAAAAAGGGGCTCAAAAAATTATTTATTTATTTTGTTAGAAAAACTATAAAGATTGGAACATATAATTGTATAATTAGAATAGCATTTTCTCATTTGAGTAGGTTGGTCTGATCATCTCAGAATGCCGCCGTATAGAGATAGCGTATTATTATTAGCCTTCCTAGCGTTGTGCTCTCGTAGAATAATCGGTCACGTAGTTTTTATTCATCAACTTGTTTCGAGGAAAGTTTTTCACCATTTTTGTTGGAGCAGGTGCCTTCACAGTACCGATTATGGTAGGAATAAGCGTCGATTATGCTTAACTAAGGGCTATATAGCGGTGATCTTGCTGGTTATTTTTTTTTTCGCTATTTTTTGTTAATTTTTTTTTGTTTTTCTGTAAAATTTAATACAAAAATCTTTTTACGTCACTCACACTAATAAGCTCTTCACTTTCCTTTTCGTCCCTCATAAAATGATGACGATTTTGCTAGACAATCTGAATAATCGCACTGAACTTCTAAATGATGATTGATTTGGCTCTCTCATACAATATTGGTTTGCATGGCAATTGATAGTTTTCCTTCAAAGCAATTTCGTCTGACATAATTTTAAATTCAAAGAAATTTTCTACTAATTTCTCTTCAATATTTTACTCTTTACTCATCCCTGTGTAATTTAAGTAATTTATAATAAAGTATAATTTAATTAATTTAAAAGCAGAAAAAATATATTTTAATTTAAAAATATGAGAGTAAGCAAATAGATGTGGCGATGATCTAACAACAAGTTTTATTATTAAAGGATGAATTTATGTCTGAAATGAAATATTCGTACAATTTTGTTTTGGTTAACTTTTTATTAAGGAATACGTAAGTATATTATGCTTACCGGATTTTTCGTTTTCGTTTTTCTTTTTTCTCATTCAAAGTATAATTTTGCTCACTTATATGTCACATCTCTTTGATGTTCACGAATTTTTTTCATATTTACGACATTACCAACATAACATTTAAAAAATTATTTTGATGACAATGATGGTGATGTTGTCTTTGCAAGATTAATAGCTTGCTCTTCATTTTGGTTCTTATTAACTTTTTTGTTGTAAATTGCTTTATTTTATTTACTGTATTCTATTAATTATGTGTGCTTCTAAATTCATAAAGTAAAACATAATTTAGTCTTATTTCTATTCCATGATCTTTTTTGGATTTTTTGAAGCTTTGAGATCTTACTTTAAATGTTAGTAATAAAAAAAATGTCGAGATAATTTTTCTGCGAACTTCGCTTTAAAGGAAAATGATCAGAAAGTACTTATGGTAAATTTTAAAATGTGCTGAAATTGGTTTAATGGGGAAACAAAAAAATCGAGTTACGTAAGGGGTGTTTATTAAATAATTTTTTAATTCAAAGATCGAGTTTTTGGAATGAAAATGTATAAATAGTGGTTTCGCGAACTTGAGATGATACCACATATTTCTTTGTAAATTTATACTTGAATTACTTACTATTTTATTACTATGAACACTTTTTAAAAATTGGAAATTCAGTTATTAAAACTCATGATTTTAGTTAAAAAGCATAAAGAACCACTAATGATAATAAAAAGTTAGATACTACACTTTACTATTTTCCTAAAAATAGGAAATGTAATTTTTTGAAGTGACATTAACAAATTTATAAGGTTAATATTTGTAATGTGTATAAATATATATACACATATAACTATGTAAATAAATGTAAAGGTTGTGATAACAAATTGTAAGTATATCGTCAGAAAATGCTTAACATAGAACCAAAATAATAATCTGTTACGTAATAATTTCAGTAACAATAAAATATAGATATGCAAGTACGAGTAAAAGATAACACTTAAAAATAAAAATAAAATAAAAGTAATAATAAATCATTTACAGTTTATATAATATAATAATTACATATATTGTAATATATAGAAGCCATAATTTTTATTAATGCTAATAAAAATTAACAATTTTAATCTGAAATTTTGCTTTTAGAATATTTAACATTTTTCAAACCAATTACATTTAATTTAATTATAAAATGACAATGAGCGTTTTTTATGAATCGAAAAAATTGTGACCTACAAAAGCACGTTTATCAAATAATTTTTTAATTTAAAATATGACAAGAAGATTAATTTATAATATAAATTACATTTTCGTAATTCTTACTACTTATCCACACCACTGTACACACTATTACCCTTATCATTCAACATTTCATACTTTAAATCCAATCAAAAAAAACACGTGCATTAATAGCGACGTCAGTATTCAGTACTCTTTTTGCTTTTTTATGTTTAATGAAAATGGAGGCCTAATAGTAGACGAAGAAAACTTACTATTTTTTAATATTACAAAAGTAAATTAAATTAAGTTAATAACAAAAATTGAAAAGCAAAATTTGTATACATCTAACTAATTATAGAATATGTCCACAATATAAAAATAATAGTGAACATTTTCCTTTTTTCCACTACTTTTCGATTTATAGGCCACTTCTTTAATCCTTTTCAGAAAAACTATAGCTTTGATCATTTTTTAAATTTTTTCTTATAACTCGTCTTATGTACGTCTCTGCTCTTACTATTATCTTGATCCAACAGTACCATCGAATTTTGGACACACTGTATATTCATTAAAATATTATGGATGTCCTTCAAATTTTAAATGAATAATAATAAAATGCTGAACATTAAATAGCAGCTAAATTAAAAGGATAAAGAAATAAGAAAATAGAAAATGCCGGTTGTTTTATTATTTTCCACAAAGAAATATACGTAAAACATCTTCAAGGAAATTCATTTAAAAAGTAATTATGCAAAAAAAAATACTTCAAAATTAATTAATGTTTCCAAAGTGTATTTTTCTTCGTTTTTTTTTATGTTTCAAACGAGAAGTAAGTAAGATAAAAGAAAAACACAAAAAATAATGAAAAAAATTCTTTAATACACAAAAATTCATTAAAGAAATGTTTTTAATTTGATGAATAATTAAGTGTGTCAATCTTCTCATTTTATATTCGACATAAAGGCGCTAAAATTTTAATAATCCTTTTTTATTATTATAAACACAATAGATGACAATAATAATAAAGATGACAACGATAAATGGAATTATTAAATTTTTTAATCTAAGTTTTAAAATATTAAACAAAATTCCTGAAAATTTTGGTATGAAATCATAATTTTTTGCAATTTATATTTTAGAACGAAACTTTAAAAAAATTTAGCAGATTGGGTATAATATTATTGTTTCTAAAATCGAATTGGGATTATTTGCTACTTAAAACTATAATTAAATAATTCTTTTCCATATAATCATTTTTACAATTTTTTTCTTATTGCTGTACAATAAGCAGTATATTTTATATGATTGAAATCATTACTCCTTAATAGACTGCTTCCATCATTACACCTATAATAGATTGCTTCCATCATTATCATAAGTTCATGGGATAAAATATGTTAACAATTAAGTAAGCGGCAACATTAGCCTCATATTGAAATGTTTTAATATACCTATTATACTTATAAATACATTTTATAATAAACTATTAGCGTGTGATTCATAAAAATTTGATTAAAATTAAGAATAATTTATTAAATAAATATAGGTAATTACTTTACTTTTAATTTTATTTCATTAGATTTTTATGCGATATTCAAAAATATTTAATTTAATAAAAAAAAATAAACCGCTAATAAGCTGTTCTACTTAGACATTAGAAATTGTAAAGAATCCAAAATGTTAAAAATAATGCTTTTCTTTCACCTAAAATATGGTGTAATGTAGACAAATGGTAGTAAATCAGTGTGTATATTATGTAAATCAGTTTACATTATATGCATCTACGTCTTATGCAAATTATTCATATTCACATATGATTATACAGAAACTTAAAAGGCTTTAAAGCTTATATCTATAAATATATAGCATATATTATTATATTTATACTCGTTATGTACATAATATGAGCATTTTGTTCATATGCATACACTACCTAAGTATATATATTTTGTCGTTATAACTTATAAATTAATATTTACACATGTAAATATGATTTTACATAATATGTAAACTGATATCTAGCTCCTTAATGTCGACTTGTATTTTATTTTAAACAATAAATGTGTATATATATAAAACGAGGTTAATTAATGCAATAACCCTCATATTCTAAGATAAATATTGGAATACATACATAGTATATGTTAGTACATAACTTTGCTGTACGTCAAAAAGTTTTCAATTTATGTGGATGTATTATAGGCATAAGTACATTGAAATCCATAATTTGTTTAAAATCTAATAAGTAATAATTAAGTTTTACAATATAATAAATTAAGTTGTTTTACAATAATTGAATAAGGGGCGTTAAAAAAAATACAACTTGCATTTTTATTTGCTGAAAAGTCCATATATTTGCATCAGCATAAAGTGTATGTATGTATATGTATATCTATTTATGTATATATATTTTATTTTCGCTTGACTTACCTTCATTTACTGGACATTTTTTTCTGTTCCTAGGAAAATATCTAACAAAATCGATTCCAAAATCCATTTGGATTGGATTTGCTGAATTTCTAAGTCTAAACTTTAAAATTTTTGCATTAAAATCTTATTGTAACATTTATAATACTTATTTCCTATTAATATCTTAATTAAAATTTCTATAAAACGCCAATAAAACACACAAAAATACAAATTTTATCATCAAAATTTCAATTTTAAAAATTTTGGTCTTACATAAAAATGACAACATACAACGCTTATTAAAAAAAAAATCCTAAATATCTACAATATTCAAAATAATTTCAATATGACGAATAATGCACATTATATCATTTATAAATAACTAATTATTATCTTGAAATTCAACAAGTTCTACTTTTAAAAAAATATTATTAAAATCTAACATTATTGTTATGATGAGTATACACTACACGGCATTTACATTAAACACATACAATACAATCATTTTCTTTTATTTCAATTAGAAAATAAAAACAAAATTATAGAGTTGCCGTTTCACCAATATGTCAGAGTTACTGCCATATTTAATAAATGACATTTTATTAAACATCATTCTGTAAAGGAGATGCCACAATCAAAATTAAATCAAAAATTAATGCCATATTGCGTTAATTAAAATCTGAACAGAAGTTTGATGCGTACTGTTTTTTGAGTTTCTATTGTTCTTTATTTTCATATCAAACCGCCTCTTTCGACGAGCATTCCTTTAGAGGAAGCACTCTACTGAAGCAGGCTATTTTAAATTCTCTACTGACTAAGCAGGATTGTCTAACTATTATGTATGTACATATTTAAAATTTTCAAATTATACACACCAATTTCAATTTAACATAATTTTTCGAACAGAAAAATTTTTATTTTAAAAGATATTACATTGTAGGACGTTCAAAAAAACTAAAGCTTGATGTTTGCCTAAACTGAAATATACGATCTATATACACTTCTACAAATACTTGAATAGATGTACAAAAAACACTTTCAATTACTATCAAACGTAAATCAAACGTAAACATAAATGACAAAATTATAGAATCTCCAAATCAACATTCCTTTCATACTCTGTCATATATTTTTGATCTATATACACTTCTACAAATACTTGAATAGATGTACAAAAAACGCTTTCAATTACTATCAAACGCAAATCAAACGTAAACGTAAATGACAAAATTATAGAATCTCCAAATCAAACATTCCTTTCATACTCTGTTATATATTTTTACGATAACGAAAATGTACATATGCATCTAGCTATTTAGGTGCAAATTCATACATATGTATGTACATAAGATGCAAATTCAATTCATGTGTACGTAGATGCCTTCAAAAGTATTTATATATTTATGTAGAGTTTTCAATGATCTATGTACAATTAGTATATGTATGTATATGTATGTATGTTTTCTAAGAATGATTTGGATGCTTAATATAATTTCCTTTTTTTTTCAATATAGGGCATTAATTGTACTTTATAAATATTCAAATAAGGATGTATGTATGTATGTAATTAATGATTAATATTTTTGTTCTGTTATTATTATAATCTTATAAAAACTTTTCCCTCATTTCATTTGCATTTCATTTCACAGAAATCGCAATTTTTTTTTTTATTTTTCAAATACAAAATAAACAATTTAAAAATAAAAAGCTTTCCTGGTATTCCCTAATTTTGACCTTTTAAATTGATTAAATTATATAGAATAGCCCCACCATTAAAAATTATATTCCGATAAGAGAAATTTGCAAATAAGGAAATTTAATATTTAAAGGAATTTTAAATGAAAGCTCTTTAGTAAATATTTAGTACGCTTCGTAATGATGGGAATTTTAAATTTTATATTTTCTGCTACTTTTGTAACAACGGCATTAAGTGCCACTGTTCCATCATCGTCTTTTAATGCAGGCGGAAGATGTGTTTTACCAGTAAAATCTAATAAACATTGGAAAACATTTTGGCCTTTAGTATTTCGAGCTACTGGAACTTTGTATCCAGTTAAAGAAACTGAAATAAATTCAAGCGAAGAATTGGATTCAGAATTGGATGTTGTTGTAACCAAAGGTGAAGAGGTTATCATTTCATGTGGACCAAATTATATTGCTTCAGAATATAGATCGACTTCTTTAAATGTGAAATGTGGAGAAGATGGTAGTTTTTATACATTGAAAGGTGATGCTAAAGAATTAAAAGAATTATCATGCGATTTAAGATCAGTCGAAGAAGTTATAGTTCCTGTGGATGGTTGTCCAACAACTGCAACTTCTGGAAAATTCGGTTATGTTCACCCGATTGATAAAACAACAAGAATAATTGGTGAATCATGTTATTTAGAGAATGAAGGACGTACTTTGTTCGCTCATATTCGTCTTGGTCAAGATGCTTCAGAAGATTCAATTTCAAATGAAAAATTAAATGACAAATATTTTATTGGAAAACAATTTCCTAATAGTCGATATAAATTAGATTTTATGAAAGGTTTTCGTATTGATGAATTTAAAAATAAAATGAAATTATTATTAGATAATGACGTTAAAATACCGCATTATTCATTGGGTAATTTCGTTGACATTGAACATTTGATATCGAATAAACAATTTTTTGCTGTTAAAAAATTAGTTTGGAATTATTTTCCTGTTTTTGATAATCAAATACCATATTTAGATGCAGTTAGAAAAGATATTGTTGAATTAAGTAGATCTAATGAAATTGATGTTTATGTTGGAAGTTATGGTATTATGGAATTGGAAGGTAAAAGTGGTGAAAAAGTTTCAATTTATTTAGATCCAATTGGTAATAAATATCCTGTTCCAAAATATATTTGGTTTATTATCAAGAGCGGCAAGAATACAATTGGAATTGCTGTAGCAAACGATCCAAATACTACTGTTAGTGATAGTTTAAAGATTTGTTCAAGTCAATGTAATAAAGTTTCATGGTTAAGTAACGTAAAAACCGCTGGATATTCAAATCAAGCAAATAAAATTGTCTGCTGTGGTTATAATACTATGAAAAATATTATACCTGAAATACCAGACATAGCACTTACTTCAAAAATTTGAGTCAAAATATGTAATTTTTAAGTTTGTTTATTATAAATTAAATTTTTTTATATAAATTAAGTATTTTTTTTAATTTTTTTTTTATATCTGTTACGAAAAGATAATGCAAGAGAAAAACAAAATTTTAATAAACACCAAAACAACATTTAATTTTTGACTTTGACTTCTTTATTTTCATCTTTACAAGTATATAATAATAATTAATAATTTTTCTTTAAATAAATATTCAAATACAATAAGACACGAAAAAGTTAATTCTGTTATTTTATTTCCTTTTTTAATTTTTCTTTTTCGAATATAATATATAAATTATAAATATTACAATGTAATATATATATGTATATGTAATTAAATTAATTTTCGAATATTTTTTCTTCACAATTTAATAGATAGTTTATTACTTTTATTTTTTGTTTTTTTTTTGTTTTTTTTCATTAGGTTTTTTGTTGAACGAAACTTTTACAAACATGAATGTATATTTTTTTCTTTTTTTTTTCATTTTTTTTTATTTTTTTTTATATTCTCTTATTAAAAGTTTATTATTATTTTCAGCCCAATTAAATATTGTATTTTTATGTTAAAAAAATTAATCAATACATTGAAAGCATGTAAATACTTTTAATAATTTAGTTACATTTTTAAGAAGAATTTAATTTACTCGATTAAATACGTGTTTTAACATTAAAATGATTTTGAAAAGTATAATATCATTTATGGTGAAATGGTTATGATTAAATATACAATACTACAATTTTATTTTCAACAAAGAATTAGAGGAAGAATAATCTAAATTTGAAAGAATTAAGTTTTAAATCGAATTAAGGATGGGATAGTTTAGCCCATATAATCAATTTCATTTTCTTCGACACATAATTTAAGCTAATTAGAAATTATTTAAAAAACTTATAATTTTCAAAGTAAAATCAGTTTCAAAATTTCGACTTTTATACCGAATATCCCAATAATTTTAAATAATCATTTTTTTGATCCATCATTTTGAATTATATAAGTATAATTTTTGTAATAATTAATGTAAATCTATATAAATATTCAATAATTTTTAATGAAACTTATTGAATTGAGATACTGATTAATTTCATTTTTAATACTTTTTTGTTTCGCAGAATAAAAAAATATAGACCTGAGGTTTTGGGTAAAATATTACAGCGTTCAATGTATATATTTAAACATTCCCACATTTAACTGACTTTTTTTTCTTTATTAAAGTTTTTGAAATGATAAAAGACGATGGTTAACAATTTTCATTTTATTGTGTTTTAAATACTATGTATACCTATATATATACTGAATTTTATTTTTTCCTTTAAAATTAATATTAATTTATTTTTTGTTTGTTCCTTTAGTATGTTCTTAAAAAGTAAATTTCTAAAATTTTTATTTTAATATTACATTTTTGAGTTATTTTATATAATAATTATTATCATTATTTAGTTTTTTTTTCAATAGCCCATAAATATATATTTCATAATAATTGATTTTTCTTTTTGTTGAAATATATGTAATAAATTAAATATATATAGAGTTATGCTTAGATTTTCATTTTTATTTGTTTTGAAAATATCGACACATTGTGTATTAAAGTTAATTATTATTATTTTTATAATTAAATTTTTCAAATAGTATAATTTGAAAAATTGTATGTGTGTTTTTTTCTTTTATTATTAAATATTATTTATTAAAATATTACAATATTATTATTTTGAAATTTTAATTGCTTAGACATCATTTTTGTTAAATAGATTCTAACATAATAAATAGGATATAAATATTAACGTTAAATAAGATAACCTTTTTAATTTGTAATGTAATAGTAAAAATGGTAATGAAATGAACTCGTTTTTTGGACAGGTAGTGTTAATTACAATAGAAAATAGGAAGTGAATATTTTTTAAAATAATTTTTTGATCAAACAAGAATTAAAAATATAAAGTGAAATTTAAAACTTTTACGTATTTTCCTTTTTTACGAAAATGTTAATTTTATTTAAAAATCATCATTTGTTTAAATCGCAGTAAAATTGACTATATTAACCCTAATACGGCAATTACTTTTTTATATAGTTAAAAAACATCTATTTTTTTCATTTCTTATGCTGTTTATTTGTGTTTATTACACATAATTACAATTAATTATCCTATTTTTTTTTTTTGTTTTAACACAATGTTTTTTAACAATTTCATAATTCTGAGTTATTTGGGTATTGTTTTAAGTATAAAATATTTTAAAAGTTATATCTCTTGTTTTTTTTTCAACATTTGTTATTATACCCGAACATATAAACTCATTTGATTTTTTAAAACTTGAAAACAATGAATGATTTTTAATTTTTTAAAAACATTTGTTATTTTTTAATTTTAATTCATTTGATGTGTTTAATTTGAATTATTTAAATTATATTGGAAATTATTTAAATGTTTCAATTAAAGTATCTTCACTATATTTGTTTATTTTTATTGAGTATTTTTCGAGAAAGTTTAAGTATTTGAGAGTTAAGTGGGCGATTTTTTATTTTTTAATAGGGTAAATAAAATATATAGACTATTCATAAAAAACTATAATATTTTCCTTTCATTGAATTAGTACATTAACTGTCCAAATTTTGTGAGTACATTATTGTTCTCGCGTTATTGTTATAAAGAACAAAACAAAAACTTAGTATTATTAAGTTGATTATTTAACATTCGAAGATAAATATACAATTTAATTTTGATAGAATATCAGTTACATTTAAAAATACATTTAATTTATTTGTTTATTTTTTCTTTTTTTCATTTTGTCACAAGCATATTTTTAAGAGAATTTAAAGATAAAGAAAAATATTATGTAATTCCAAGTTTTTTCTTATTATTGATTAATTTAAAATTTCAATTTAAAAAACGACACAATTTTTATTATTTTTTTTTGTTGTATTTTTAATTTAATAATTCAACGTAGAGTTAAATGCACATTTAAATACATTATGTACGCATACATGTAATAATAATATTTATTTGAAACATACAATTCATTTATTTTTCGTTTTAATTGTATAATAAGTAAAAATTTTAAAGAGAGAGAAACTAACAAAAAGAAAAATAAGCTGAGAAATCATTTTTTTAAGAGGGTATTAAAAGCATTACGATTTTAATAAAGCTTTGCAATGGCGAAAATTTAATTTATAAAAATTTGTTTTTTTTTTGTTTATTTTTTATTAAAATTTACTTTATATTTCATTCAATTATTAATAAAAGTTGTTAGTAACATTTTTTATTATCAGAATTATTTTGAAAGAGAAAAGTTAAAAAAAATGCATTTTAAAGATTTTAAAATATAAAAACGTTATTGAATGTTACTTATTATTTTTCATAGCAAATAAATTTTTTGGGTAAAATTTTTAATGATTAATTTAAGTAAATATATTATAATTATTATCACATATTACAAAAATTCAATAAATGCATTTAATGCTATGTAATGAGAATTTTTCAATAGTATTTATATTGTAATTTTTATAACAGTAATGACAATAAATATGTAAATAAAATATATTTTTATTGTAAAAATACTATTTGTAACAATTACTAATTTCCTTTACAAATAATTTTTGCAAATGAGAGCACAAATTTTAAGTAATTTAAAATGTTAAAAAATGTTAAAAATTTTTTAATATTAATTTAAACTCGAAATATTTTAAATATTACCCTTAAAATCAAAGTTTGTAGATACATAAAATCTCAAAAAATCTGTGTATTTTAAACGTTTTAGAAATTTAGGTTTGTTCATGTGTCTGAAAAAAATTATAATATTTATAATATTCTCTTGATATTTTAAAATAAGTTACCAATTACAATATGGAAATTAAAAAAAAACTGATAAAATTAAATGAGTACTTTTACAATAAATTTATATTTATTTAATTTTAACATAAAAAAAACATACAAAATGTTTGTATATTTTTTAATTTTAAAAATTTAAAATGATTTTTAAAAAACATTTGATACATATGCCTTTTTTTTTATTTTAAAAAAATTCTATGTTTGATAAATAAAACATAAATATTTTATTTTGTATTAAATTTTTAGAAAAAATTCAAAAAAAAAGATAATAGTTATTTAATTTTACTTTATTTGTTTTTAAATATTTTATTAAATTGTTTTTCGATATTATATTAACGAATATGAATTAAAATTTTATGATTCTTATAATATTTGAATAATTTTATCAATTATTTTATTTTATGTGAATATTAAAATTTTACGTCAAATGTTTTAGATAGTTATATAATATTATAATAGTATTTTTTTACGTGTACATTTAAATAATTTCTTTTTTTTTCCAAAATTCTGAATACCCTACACTAGTTTGTTGTATCTTGTTTTCTATTTTTTTAATATATTTTAATATTTAATATCTTATTTTTGTATGCATATTATAATTTTATATATATGTTTTTTTTTCTTTTTTTTTGAGATTTTGAAAACAATAATTTTATAATTAATTAACTATGTATTGTCTTGTTTTTCATATTATGTATGAAATATTCAAATACCTTTTCTTTATTAAATTGTATAAACGCTCAATATTAAATTTTTTGATTTCCACATTATTTTACATTTCATTTATTTTTTGCAATTTTTTATTTTCTTATTTATTTTTTCTTAGTCAACAAGAGAGGATAATATTAAAATAAAACAAAAAATATGTTTGAAAATTAATGAATTTTTTTTAATTTACTACTTATTAATTTTTATTTACATTTTTTGAAATAAAATTTTGCAACTTCATGGCAATACGGTTTTATTCAAAAAATTGTAAGTGAATTTTGATAAAAATCATTATGCAAAATATTCGGTAATATATGATTCATAAGTATATTTAAAAAACGATGGTTTGAAACCATATTTTAGAAGTTCTGTTTTTAATTACAATTTATCTTTTGTTTTAAATATTTGGTTAAAAATGCTTTTTTAATTTTAAGTAATGACAAGTTTTCTTTATTATCATTAGTTTAATAGATTTTATAATCAATATCATAAAAATCATTTATATTTTATATAAATGATATTTTTTTGAAAATTTAAATCAAATTTAAAATATGTTCAGGAAAAAATTGTTAAAATCCTATCAAAAAAATATTTTAATTAGTTTTTAAATTTCAGAAATTTAATTGTAGTACTTCAATATCAAACTAAAGTATAATTGTAATATATGTATGTATACATGTTTTATAATATTTTGTTTATTCAGTAAAATCATTTCAACTCATATTTATATAAATAAACGTTCATATAGCATGCAATACATATAATCTTCACTAATTGGGCTTTAGCTATAATTATGGACCAATTCCAAATTATATACAATATTATTAATTTATTTTCAATATTTATAGTTAATAAATGTATCTAAATAATTTAAAAAAAGTTAAAATCCTAATGACTATAACAATTATTTGAAAATATTTTATAATGAATAATAAAACTTGTAAGAAAATAAAATAGAATAAAAGTTATATATTAATAAATTTCAATTTAATTTATTACATATTATTTGGACAGTGATATTTTTGATGAAATAAATTTTATAATGATTGATACTAAAACAACTATTGAAAAATAACTGTTTTTTACATTATTTATGTTTTAAATACAGAACTTCTATATATTATTAAACGTTTTTGATTTAAATATAAAAATAATAATTTTATAAATATTTATTAAGCGAAAGTATGATATTCTTTTTTAATTTAATATTTTCATGAATTTAATTTTCGTTACACTTAATTTTAATTGTCATGTTAAAATCTTTTTTTTTTTACTTAATAAAACTTAAAAAATTATTCAATGACATAAAACTTAAAGGAAACTTTTATTTTTAACAAAAAAATAATTAGAAATACAAATACGAAGTGTTTTTACGTAACTTTCAAACTTTTTGAAATATTATACAATAATATAAATGATACAATTCTTTTTTTTTATTAGGTATTCTGAAACATACTTTACCAATTATTCTTTTTTAATTAAAATAAATCATTTTTAAATTTCTTTTTATTAAAATTAGAAAACAAGTTTAAATTCTTATTTGAAATTATCAAAATATAAATGTGTTTATGTGAGTTTTGGATTTAGTAAAATTATAAAATTAACACAATTATATAAAAGCAAATATATTTATTTATAATTTGTTCATTTTGTACATAATAGTTCTTTTTATCTTAGTTTTATGATAATGATAACAGAAAATTTATAACTTGTAACTCGTTTATTTATAAATTAAATAATAACTACAATTACATATGAAAAAGTTGAAAATTATTTTACTACAAAACAAGAAAAAAAATAATAATTTTTTTTTATATAATATTAAGTATTATCTTTTTATTTGAATTGTTTATTCATTCATTTTTCATAACTATTGCATAGTTCTTGATAAAGAATTATTTTTCTGATTAACTTAATGTCGAAATTAATTATATTTTTTTTCTTTCTTTGTTTATGAGATTAATCCTTCTTGATTTATGGTAAAGGAACCACAATTTGAACGTAAGTTTGTGGAAAATATCCGGTTCGACCATTAACACTTCCTTCATACCAATTTTCATCAACTCGATTTAAAAGTGTAATTATATCATTTTCCTAAAATATAACGAAATTTTAATTCAAATTTTTTTGTAGTTAATATGAGATTAATATGGTATTAATTTTTAATATTTAATTAATATGAATTTAATAACAACAGTAACCTTGAATCCTAATTCGCCTGGATTTTCTGGTTCAAAATCATATAATGCCTGACAACATGGTTGTTTTTGAGTGGCCGGAGTTTTTGCTGGAGATCTCATTGGTGATGGTAATGGTGATGCTATAAATTTATTAAAAGTCAAAAATTAATTTAATTTTTTTAAATTTTTCCGTTTGTTTTTTAATAAAACACATTTAAAAAAATATGCATTACAATATGCGAGTACGTGGCTTATAAATATAGTTCTATTTACAAATTCAGAAAAAAGCTATTTTTAAAATATAATTTTTTTTATTTAAACTATTCATGCAATATATAATGAAACAAAATAATATAAGAACTAATACATATTTACAATACAAACATTATAAATAATACAATAGCAAATAATATTACTGACATGTGAAGGGTAATGTTAAACAAGAATTTCAAAACCATGTACATATACAATTACGGAAAAGGCTGCAAAGGATATTAATAAAATCATGTGCACAAAAACGGAACATAAAAGAAAAGATTAACTGAATTAGTTTTCGAAAAAAAAAAGTAAATGAAGACAGCATAGACAAAATGTATAACAAAGATGTACCTGGAAACCATAAATAAATTGATAAAAAAAGGGATAATATTTAAAAGTTAGATAAATAAATCACTATATTTACTTAAAATTTAATAAGATTTGTAACTCATAAATTTTAATTTAAGTATTGGTTGTTTAAGTAGCTTAAATGTTTTTTGTTTTATATAATGTATGTTATTATATAGTATATTATATTATATTTGTATTATATAATATAATGTCTGGCATTTTATAAATAATATAATATAATATTATAATATAGAATCACAATTTTAATTATATTTTTAAAAATTTAAAATTTTTGTTTAAAAAAATAATTTGCACAAATTTTAGAATATCTTAATAGCCAAGCTATATACGAATTAAATAATTATAATTTTTAATGGTCATATATCAAATATAGTGTACTGAAAAAGGGATGTTTTTCTTTGGTTCAAATCTTACTTTTTTAAATATCACGTAAAATTCAATAACGAATTTTATTATTTCTATTAGAAATTTATAAATTACCTAGGAAAATATAAAATAGTTAATCCTGACTTAATCAAAGAAAAATCATGATAAAAAATTATTTAAACAATCTGTATCTGTATCACTTTTACAAAATTAATTGTATTTTTCAATTTGAATTTGTTTGAAACTTTTCATTTTACGGTAATAACAAAAATTATAAACTAAAACTACATTTTGAAAATACAACACAAAACGTAAAGAACATTTATATAAAAACACACAAAAATACTAAAACACATTTTACGGGAAACTTTTTGAATCATGCAAATTTCAAAAAATTTTGAAATTCTTTTAATCTTGTGATTTAATTAAGTAATTTTTATTTTTCTCTAATTATTGTTTAATTTATTTATTATTTTACTTTTAAATTAAAAAAAAAAAAAAAATTAACAAAGCTCAATAAATAAAAAAAATTTAGATTAAATATTGGGATTTAAATCAATTTTAAACTTATTTTTATTTTATCATATTTTATTTTTATGTGAAATTTTAAAATTAAATTTTCATTTTACCATTCGTAGATCTAGCTTGTACATGACCATTATCCAATTCCAGATGAGTAGGTTTCGTTACTATAATAATATTGTAATAATTTAGCAAAAAAGCAATTCTTTGTGTTTTTATAATTTTGTATTAAATTATTTAATTAAAAATAAGTATTTTAATATTTTATTTTTTTTTGTTCTTTAACTTTTTTTTAAAAGAATATCAACTTTTTCAAATTTAAATACTTTATAGAAAAAAAAGAGAAACATTTAAACAAAAAAGCAAATTAAATACAAAATTTATATAGAGAATGAATATAAGAAAATAAAAAAATATATCTTTCAACATTTTAAATTAGAGAGAGAAAGTAGTTTATAGCAAAGTCGAAAAACATTTCTAAAAACAAAGAACAATTTCAAAAAAAACTTTAATTTCCTAGCTTTGATTAACTAACTTGAGTAAATAACAAATTTCAAAAATGACTATTATTTCTAAGCAAGACAACAAATCAAAAATGTGTATAGAAAATATTGGTTAAGACAATAAACATATTACAAAATTGGAGGTGCTTTATATAGAATAGAGGATGGAAAAATTTTAATTTCACAGAATTTAGATAAATCATTCTTTTATACCCTACACCTTTCTGAAGAATATTGTATGAACCTTCTAACCACTTGAAAGAATCTGTAGTATAAATATATATGTGCCTGCCTCGATTTAAAATTGCTGTCAGTAGTTTCAAAAACAAATAAAGCTAACTGCATGAAATTTCGTAGTCGTGTGTCCAATCAATTTGATTGCATGGCTCACTACTTTAAACGAAATGTTTTTTAGCTCAAATTTTTATAAAATTACGAAAATTTTACAAAAAAAAAATGCAGAAAAAATTTTGTTAATGAATCTGATTGAGAAATTCTAAATAGTGAGATATTTCTGATGCTAATAAGCTGATTTTTTTTATATCTGCCTCGATAATAAGTAAAATTTTTGCAAGCTTTGAAACGAGTTGGTAGCATGCAGCTGTTTCTTTAAAATGAAGATGCTTCCGACGTTCTAAGTAGCATTTATACAATAGGTTTTAATGATTAAGCTGCATTTCCGTTATAAAGCAGTTTGAAGTGCTTACTTGCTTGAAAGATTGTTTAAATAACACTTGATTCTGCTCAAAAACAAAAAATCTAGGAGCACATACTTTGATTAGCAGAACTTTTGGAATGTTTTTTTAATTTTTTTTTGTCTTAATAAAAAAAAAATAAATGGTTTTCTATTTACTAAAAGTAAGAAGCAAAATGAATGGTTTTCTATTTACTAAAAGTAAGAAAAATGCTAATGGTTTAATAAATTTGTATAAAATTCCTCAGTAAAAAGTTATAAAATATCATAAACATCAAAACAAGGAATCTTTCCGTTTCTAAATAAGTTCACATACATGATTTTAAGTTAACTATTTAAAAACTTATTTTTAACCTGCATTAATAGCAATGTCTAATGCGATTTCAATAAAAATAAATACACAACTAATGTGAGAAGATAACCGCAAACATGAGAACTCCCGTTATCTAACATTGTAGCTACAATTTTATTCCTGTGTGAGTGTTAACGCAACATAATTATTCCCTATTTACAAATATTAATTGTCAGGAAAATATTACCTTTTTTTTTCTTTGTAAATGAATATACTTGTTTTTTAGTTTTTTTTAAATACAGAAATTTTAGTGGAACGGTCTGACAACCTCACCGAAATTCTTAAAAACTAATTTTATGTATTTCAAACATTAATTAAGGTAACTTCAATAAATTTTATAAGAAAGTGGGATTTTAGTTTACATACGCTCCATAATTTTTTTTCTGGCTGGTCGGCTATAATTTAGTCAATTAAGTTCGACTGATCCATTTACAATATTGATATTATTGTTATAATTTTAATCTATTCAAAATATTACAAATATTTCATTTATTTCAACTTAGAAGCAACCAACACCCACAAATTTATCTAAACAAAAATATTTCATAGTTATACATATTTCATATGTTTCATAATTTTATTGAACATGAGTTTTCAATATTACCATTGCTATTTGGAAAACATGAAGCAAATCAACTTTTCAATTTTAAATTAAATTTCAACAAGATATTATTCGACTTTCCAAAAATATTGAGATAGAAACATAATTACTAATAATGTATATTACAATTTTACGTATAGAATACACATAAAATTGAATTTGAATAGAATTAATAATAGACTTCTAAATTTAACTAATATGAAAACAATTCTTATTTACTTGAGAGTCAAATGCAATATTCTTTTTCCAATAAAAAGAAAGAATTAATACAATGTCGTTGAACTTTTCAATATTATATGTATTAAAATTAATATAAAATTCCTTTTTATAATGATTATTTCTGATATTTATAATTTACGAACAAGAAAAACATATTAAGCAACATAAAATATTTAAAATAATAAATAAGAACGTTTTACAATATATCCTTAAAGAAATAAATGCTAACACTCACAATATATAAAAGCTTAAATTAAAAAGATTTTTCAGAAAATATCAGAAATAATTATAAAAAAGAAGATAATATTGTCAAAAAACTTAATCTAATTATTTTATGCTATAATATAATGGAGGATAATATAGACATGACAATTTAAAATTTAATACTCTAGAAATAATAAAAAATTCAACATTAAATATTAATATAATTATAAATATAAATATATGAAAATGTTTATCAAAAAATAAGATTTCAATTGCTGATTTCGTCTTTTAAGCAATGCAAAATAAATTTTTTCAACAATACAAACTCTCTTTAAAATAAATAAAATAAAACAAATATACTTTACGAAGAAAACTAACTAAAAATTCAATCATAATTTACTATATTTTAACTTTAACTAATAAATCTTATTGAACAAATAATAATAAAAAACAATGTTAAATAAATAATTTAAATAATTTAAAATTATTTTGTTTTTATTATTTTATTTTTTTTTTAATTTTGAAAGAAATTCCGAAAATCCCATCACCAGTTTTTTTTAGTTGTTTCGTGTTTTGTTTTTCTGTTATTAGTGTTTTAGAATATGGTTATAATGTACTTGAATTCATAATTTGATTAAATCATAAAATAGAAATAATATAAAAATAATATAGAAAGAAATTACGTATTTATCTTAATGAAAATATTTGGAATTTCATAAGAAAAAGAATAAAGATTTAATTATAAAATTTTTACTTAAATTTATTTGACGGCAAAATTGACTTTACTAGGTTATTTTACCGACCTTATGCTAGATAAGGCAGTTTTCTCTTTAACAAAATATTTAACATTATACTATATAAACTTTAAATTTTATACCATCTTAAAATTATTCGAAAAAATTATAATTGCTATATTATTATTTTTTTTTTTTGAAATTATGAATTCAATTTTATGCAAATGACTGTATTACTTTTTAATATCATATTTAGGATTAGTATATGAACTAGTTATTAAAAATGGGAGGAATTTAGAAATGAAGAATGTTCTGAAAGAAACTTACGAATGTTTTATTTTAATATTTTACAAATTTTTTACATGGAATAACCACCTATATTCTTTTAAACATACCATTAAGGAGATAGTTATTATTCAAAAATGTCGTAATTTTGAAGATTCACAAAAATTTTGGTAATTTCCAAGCTGATATACTTTTGAATAATACTCTATAGTTACAAAAAGAATATTTGTGATTATCTATTAGTGTGTACACATGTGATATACTCCAAATTGTACTTAAAAATATGTTGATTAAATTATATACATACATGTAATAATACTAAAATATATTATTATTTACAACTTGATTAAAAATAAATAATTTACGTTACTAATAAAGTAAGATATTTTCCTTATTATTTTATTTCAAAATATTTGCAAAATTTGGAGTTTTATTTTCAATTTCATTTCAATTTTTCTAAATAAGTTTTAAGTAAAATTGTCCATAAAGTACTAAACTAAAATGTACCGTTTGGGATAGTAATAAAAATATACTCTGATTAAATAACTAAATTTCAATTTAGTTAATCGAACTGTTTTGCTTTAAAGAAACTTTTATACAATATTGTGTATACAAACTTTTATACAATTTTTAAAGCATATCTATGTTATACTATTCAAAGCACTAGTCAAACTAATTTGAATAACAAATCTTTGTCAAAATTACTTGCACTATAAATTTTTTTATTTTTAAAATTAATACTTACAAAAGTTGAAAAATATCAATATAAAAGAAAATCTTTATTTAAGAAGAAGAATCGCTATTTCTAAATTAATATTAATTATCTAATTGTTGAAATTTTGCTATTATTAGAAAATACATGTAAGTGTTTCTAGAGTTGAATGTTTTATATTGTATATATATTTCAAAAATATATATAAATATAAAAAAATTAATAATTTTAATTTTTATAAAATAGTATTCAGTTTTATATTTACTCGATAATTATTCGATATATCAAAAAGAATTACTAAAAACTTATAACCTATTAGAAATCCAAAAAAATTCAATCATGTGCCCTGAAGGATGAAGAATGTTTTTAGTGCTATTTTTCGGGTAAAAAAGTTAAACAGTAATTATTTTTGAATTGGACACTTAAAATTACGTTTTTGAATATAATAAATTACTTTGATTCGAATCATATTAAGCAATAATGTTTCAGAATAAAAATGATATCATTCATATGTTTGTTTGTTTAAAACTCTAAAGCATTCAAATAAAAACTGTGCCTTGGATATGAAAACAACAATAATTGGATTTTTCTCAAATGAGGAAAAGTGTTTTTGGTTTAAACCGCATTTAAGAAACACCTATCAGTCATACAATTCTTGTCTGAATACAAATTATAATAAAATGAGATTAATGGGTTTTCAAATTCTAATTATGATAATGAGATCATAAAAATTAATCCAATGAAATTCGAATATAAATTAGAATGAAATGAAATTTAAACGAGAAAAATGATGTTATTCAGTCATTTATGAAAACAAAAATCTGATTTAAAAAAAATTTTAATTTTTATTTAATAATGAATTGTGAACTAACTTAAAATGTAACTAGAATTCAAGTTTTTTTCCAACGATTTTTAAATATTTCATGATTTCAAAACAAATAAAGTGAATAAAAAAAAATTTATGAAGTGAAAAATTAACATAAAATAACAAAAAGAAATGAAAAAAAAACAAAAAAAAAATCACCTGTCCAAGGATCTTTGTTGAAATTAGAAACATTCGTTTTAACAAATTGCTGTGAAATGTTTCTACTAACATTACTATTTAAATTTCGATCTAAGTTATTCTTATTTGCCGCTATTGTTGATGAATTATTTTTATTTACTTTACCATATGATGGAGGAATAGGTGGGGGATTATCCCAAGCATTTAACCAATCAAAACTAGAATTTAAATCAAGAGCATCTGTTGTTATTGACATTTGATTTTTATTATTATTATAACTACTACTGTTATTATTTGAACTATTATTACTATTAACAAGTGATAAGTTTTTTGGTGTTAATGATTGATGTGAACCATAAATTCGATTTCTTGAAAAATTTGTACTTTTTGTGTTATTTGTATCATATGTTGTACGGATTGAATTTTGTTGAGAATTATATAGAAATTGGTGATGGGAATTTTGTTTACTATTATTATTAATATTATTAATATTTGTACTAATGGTTGTTGTTGGGCGACTACCACTGTTAAAATTTATATTATTTGAATTTAATACACTAAAAGAATTTGTCGTTGTTGTGCCGCCAAAACCACCACCATCATTATAATTATTATTGCTATTAATACTACTTGTGCTATTACTAATAATTGAACCTCTATTCCCTCTAGTATTAGCACTAGTAGTTAATATATTATTATTATTATTATTGTTATTATTATTATTTTTATTTCCCCAAAGTCCATGTCTATTCGCACCTCCTCCGTTGGCTTCTACACCATCAGTACCTTCATCAATTTTCAATTCAGCCAATGATTTCGGTATAAATTCTGACTTTGGTCGACACTCAGCTTCATTTCGTCTTAAAAAAAATATGAAATTAATTAACTTGAATAAGATTGATGGATGAATAAATATTTACTTTTCTTCCAGTGTTCCTTGGAGAGTTTTCAATATTTCAGCGCATTGTGAATGGTAGTCATGCATAGCTTCACAGAATGTTACTAATTGAGAAATTTGTTCAACCTAAGATAGTGTAAGATAAATAATCCAAAAACGTATTATTATTAATTTTACTTACATCATTTTCTAACAAATTAAACATTCCCATTTGTGCCAATTGCAATGATTCAGCAAATTTTTCTTCAGCACTGCGTATTTCATCATCTGTAATGTGAGATCCTTTCATATTAAAGTCCCATAATAACATTTTTTTTAAATATTTTAAAAATGTTTACAATTAAATCCAATATTTTTTAAATAAAAATCATTTACAATTAAATAATTGTATAATTATGCAATAATTGTAGTGTGTAAAATTAAAAAAACAAAATATATGATGGATTAGGATTTAAAAAAATATATAAATATATTAAATTTACAATCCAAAGTAAAATGGGAATCGTGATAGTTCAAAAATGTCATCGTTTTTTTATATGATTAAATAATGTTAAGTTAAGTGAATTTCCAAAAATAAAGCCATCCAAAATTAACATTGGTCAACCAGTGTAGAATCGTTAATGATTTTTTTGTAAGTTTTGGTGTACAAATCATAAATAAAACCGAAAAAGAAAATAAAAAAAATTGCTAAATATGAATATATATTTTAAAGCAAAAATAATATAATTTTTTTATATTCTAATTAGATATAAATTAAAAATATAAAATTGTAAATAATAAAAATTTTGCATACACATAATTATATACATAATGTAAGTAACTAAATATTTATATAATGAATTTTAGCGATTAAGAAATTATTTAATAGACAAAAAATGCAATTTGTTTTTAAGATTATTGTATTTATTTTATTAAATGAGTGATTTTACTAAGGGATGTCTTTAAGAGCGCTTCTTATCTAACTTTTCAATATTTTTATAATTTTCAACTATATAGAATATAAAGCTATTCACTCTTTGGTTAAGGGTGTAATAATCTTGTAGTTATGACATTTAGTCCTATTTAAAGTTTTTTTTAAAGACTTTTTTAACATTAAGTATGCAATGGAATTTTAAAAAAATAATATTCAGAAGGTTTTGAATTTATATAATAAATCATTGCCCTGGTTAGTGTTTAAAAGCCTTCGCGAAAAGAGAGCAAAAATTTACACATACTCCCAATTTTACTAGTCTTTTACTCGATTTTCTCTGAAATTCAATCCTAATCGCTTTTGGATGTACTTATAGATATGAATAAAAGTGTTAAGTAATTTTAATAATTGCAAATTTTAAATTTGAGCTAGTATATATAAAACTATAAGAATTAAAATTTAAAGAAAAATAACTATAATAATAATAAAAATACGATATATTTGGGAAAAATTAAAATAAAATGTTATTGGGAGTCAATAAACAATTGATTTTATCATTTTGAATTTTAAGAAATTTTATTCTCTTAAAAGCCATATAGAGATGGTTTTTAAATTTTCATAATTCTTTATCCTAACATGTGTGAGGCGTCCAATCAATACGATTAAGCATAAACGAATTAATTAAAATTATACTACTAACTTTCTTTTAAAAAAGATAGATCTTACGTGAATATGAGCATATAAATTAATTGAAATGAAACTTTTAGAAGCGCATCCTTGATAATTTTAACCCAAAAAAAAATATTAATATATATATATGTATATATATACAAACATACATAAATATAATAAAAAAAACCTAGCGACATATTACTACTTTTTTTTTAAATTTTATAATGAAAAGTTTTCTTTTGTTTTTAAATATACCATTAGATTTCATTTGTCGGATAGGACTGCTCATAGGTGAAAGATATCCACCTGTTAAATCAAAAATTGTTTGAAGAATATTTCATTGTAAGAACAGCATTAAGAAATAAACATGAAATTAATAGAATTTTATTATAGCTATAACCAAAAAATAACTAAAAAGGGGTTCAACAAAACAAAAAAAATAAATAAAACCAGAACAAATAAAACATTTGAAAATCGTTTCGAAAAAAATAAATAAGTACTTGTTTTTATACTTGGGATTTTGATGTAATATTATTTTTAATATTTTTTTATTATTCAAATAAAATAACTTTTTAAAACTAAAAATAGAAAGCAAAAGAATAATAACCAACACTTTGGATTTCATTTTTTAAATTACCTTTAGCTTGTCTACGTCTTTTACAATCAAAATCAAGTCGACGTCCTTGTAATTTTTTTCGGTGATGCTACAATTAAAAATTAATAAAAAATTAGAAATCATTCTAAATTTTTTTTCTTGGTTAAAATAATCAAATTGGCTCCAATATTATAGAATTACATACTGCGAAGACCCAGAAGTTCGAACATTGTTTGAATCAAAAAATGAAATGAAAATATTACAATAATATTGCAAAAGTATTCAAAGTTCTTGGGAATATTAGCATTAAAAATATTATAAAATGGAAAAAAATAAAAAGTAAGTTTAACAATAAATTTAGTTACAAATTCGGTGAACTGTTTTGTAAATTAAATAAAATATTAAAATTAAAAATAGTAACTAAATAGTCAACTAAGAGAAATATTTCCTACCCAACTAGAAATAGAAATTATACTTAAAAAAATTAAATTATATTTCACATGACAACAATAACAAAGAATTATTTTAAAGCAAAAAACTTTTATTTAAAGCTAATTTTTCATATAAAATATTATCTAAGATAATAGAATAAAAGTAATTATATAGTTTTGGCTAATATATTTTATAATTTTTCAAAATGTGGATTTTATTATTTTTATTGCAATTTGGGCTCTACACCACTTGAAAAACGTAATTGTATTCTACAGAAATTTCACACGGTATTTGTTTTCGCATACAAATGTTTAAATTTAAATAAAATTTGTTTTTATTGATTTGATTTCACGGCATTCGCGTTTTACTTCGCGTTCGTTTAGACCGAAACTTTTTTCTTTGACAAAAATTTGGAATTTTCGCTACGTAAATTCAGAATTTAATGTACTTTAGATTAGTAATAAAGTAGAATTTGCATAATTTGCATTTTTGAATAATAGAAATAAAAAATTTAAAAATATTAAATCTAAAAATTTAAATTATTTTTAGATATTTTTTTTCTTTACATTTTTAATGAATTTATTAATAATTCTGTATTATAATTGGTATAATATAGAATGTTGGGAGCATTTTCAGATATACAAAAATAAACACTTACTTGTTTTATTGTAAGGTAAAAAAAATTAATTAATATTAACATTGAAAATTTAGCATGGGAAATATAAACTTGATATTGGTTGAGACCTACAAATATTATGATTTAATGTACATAAATAAAACTTAATTATAACTTGAATATATTTTAAGTAAATACAAAAAAAAATTTACAAAATAAAAATCTTCTAGTTGGGTACAAAATATTTTTAAAATCAACCAATGTCCGAACTCTTTTTATATTTTGTACATATTAGTTTTAGCTCTTAGTTTCTGATTTCTTTTTGTCTTTATTTTGTTATAGAATTGAGCTTGTTAGTGTTATTAGCTTTTATAGATCAAACAACAACCATTTCACAATAACTTTAACCAAAAGTTCTTTTTACCATAACTTCTTTAATGTCTTTTGTTTGCAAATGATGTAATGGCTCAAGAACATTTTGTTTAATATTATCATCAAGTGAGTATTTAACATCAGCCATTTGCCTCAATGATTCACCATATTCAATAAGAGCTTGTGCTAAAAAATTCAATAATTTGTTAATAACATTTAATCGATACACAAAAAAAAATTAGTTTATTTTTTTTATTCCAAAATTAAAGTCTCGTTTTCTTTTGAGAAGAACCTTAGGCTTATAAATAAATAATGAATCTTACCGAAAATGCTGTCTTCTCCTAATTTTTTACCATATGTTAGCATACATTCTGAAAGTATACCCTCTGGTTGTGGGTAAGTATTTGTTTTTGCTTGACCAGATAATTTTGATATTCCTTTTACAGCTGCCATTTTAGCTCTTGCTGTTGGATTTGGTTGTAAATATTCTTTTGTTTTTATTTGCAATTCTTCTACTAATTCAGCTGTAACATCAGTTTTCTACAAAAGAAACAAACAAAAAAAATATGTGGATGAGTATATTCAAAAATTTATGACTCATAAGATTAATTTAAAGTGAATGCTTACTCTTTCCATTTCCATAAAATCATAGTCCAATTTTGTGCCTTCGGCACCACCCATCTTTTCCGTGACATACTGCAAAACAAAAAAAAAAGTAAAATTATTAAATATTTAATACTTATTAAATGCTACATTATGCACTTTGCATAATGTATATAAAAAATATATATAATGTGAATATTATATATATTTACACAGTATAAAACACCTTAATTGAATATTTATTTAACGTAAAAACAAGTTAATATAAACATTTCTAGCAATAACAATAACATTTGATTACAAAGTTCTTTTTTTACGGCTTTTTTGAAGATTTCAAGGTTTCTTACAGTTATGTATATATAACATTTGTACAACCCTAGAGGTAAAATAAATTGCATAGAGCATCAATAATTTTGATTAATCAAAATATATAAAAAATTTATTATATTTAAAAGGCAAAAGTTTGAGTAATTGAAGATCTTTCAAATTGAGTAAAGAGAAATGAGATAAGAGACTTGATTTAACCAGAATATTATATTAAGTTTCTTGTATTTTGTATATTTGAATATTTACATATTCCTTGAGTTTAAAAATATAATTTAGAACTTAATATTCGACGTGTTATTCGACGTATAGCACGACGTGTTTTCAAAATTTAAATCGAATCATAAAACCATTCAGTTTTAAAATACTTATAAGTTTTGTTTTAAATTTTTGTTTATAACGTAAACGATAATAGTACCAGCTTTGAAACTGCTATGCATATTTGTCAGACAGGACTTTTTCATCTGATTTTCTTTAATTCTTGACTTGGGGACAGTAAATAATGATTATGTCCGATAATCGAGCTGTGATTGGAGCGCTGAATTCATTTCCGTCATCCTCCACAATAAGGTGGTTCTGTCTTGAGAGGCGCAACAAATTAAATAGGCGAAACCAGGTCCGTCTGTGTTGGGCGGTAGTTTATTTGGAAATAAATTACGACGCTTTGGCAAAGATGGAGTTAACACACCTCTTCTTGCACCGGAGGCCTTCTTCGGAATCGGACTACATACTGTTCAATGGGAACTACGAAAGAAGTAAGAGAGGAGGCAGTGGGGGTGCTGGAGAAGTCTTCGCGGCTGCGGCAGACCAAGGAACTTCTGGGAGATTATGACTAGAAGTGACTGAGGAAGATTATAGCGATGGGCAAGAATCAGATGGGAATTCCCATCGGCGTTTTATCTCATAGTTCTAAACTTAGAGGGCACCTCATTAGGCTGCCTCTGGAAAGTGAAAATGGTAAGATCTCAGTACACCTTCCGGGTGAGGATGAATTACAATATATCACTATGCGTGACTGCAAAGCACTGTTACCCTGGCTGTACAAATCTATAGACTACAGCCTCTAAACTTACTATCCGGTATTTATTCATAATTTAAATAAACACTTTTTACAGTTAAAATATAAGATGTAATATTAAAATATTAATATATTTTATACTAATATGTGTTTGTGCACCAAATCTATATGCACATTATAACTATAAGAGCGCATGTGTGTATTTTTGTTTTAAAGTTACAGCAGGATGTGTGCTTTAAATTAACATTTCATAAAATTTTAATTTAACTGAAAGCATTTAAAAGGATTTGTTTTTAAACTAACAATTACTTAAAGATGATATAAATGAATTTTTGTAGATATTTAAATACATAATGTAAATTTAGGCTTTAAACATACTCACTTATATTATAAATTGGTTTGTTTACATACTCACATTCAAATTTCAAAATACGATTTCTCAAACCCACACACATTTGTGTTTGTATTTAAAATAAAAATGCTTGGAAGCTATATTTAATTTTTGTTTTTCCTTTTGAATAGATTTAATCAAAGAAATTTGTGTACACATTTACAACAACGATTCAAATTTTGAAAACGAATAGGCAAAAAATAATATTGTACAGCTTATTTATGTGAAAAAAAAATAATAATCTAAATATTAAAATTAAAAAAATTAAAAAAATATATAATTTTTTATAGTTTTTTGCAATTGCTACACAACTTAAAAAAAATAAAATTATAGACTAATAGTCTGTGGATCAGTTAGGCATTTTCCGACATTTAAGATTTTTATAAATACATATTAACATTCCATTTTGTGCGATTACATTTACATTATTTGTATGTTTAGATGTAGATATATACATAAGTAGAACAAAGAGTTCAGACCCAAATTCAGTAAGGGCGGATGTAAAAATTTACCTACATTCGAAAACAAAAACAAATATGAAAATATTACCACCAGCTTATTAAGATGATTCAAAGAAAATGGAACAAGAATATTTGATTACCTAAATGTATAAAACTAACACTGTACATGTACATATGTATATGTATACAGGTATTTAGTCAATTTCACACTCACAACACTTATGAACATATTTCGTTTTTTGGATATTTTATAATGAAGCTTTTATAATTGGCTTTTTAAATTTTTAAATTTTTTCCTTTGAGTGACGCACAATCAGAGTAAAACAATTACGGTAAATATGTAATTATTTTAACATGATTTTTTTCTGCAGTGTATTAAACAAAATTTAAGCTCATTAGAATAAAGCTATTAAAATAACAAATAAAAGGTTTAAAATAAGTAAAACAAATAAAAAATTGAGAGTAAGTAGAAGAAAAAACAAAAAAATGAGACGTTAAACTAGGTCAAAATTATATTTAAAATAATAGATAAAAAATTTATTTTGCTTTATTCATGCAAAAGTGACATTAAGAAGAGGTAGGGCATCGGTTTACTGGCTTTAAACCGCGGTAGTGTGACCTGTACTGATGTACGGTGTTCAGGGGTGGTTCTGGTGTGGTGGTCAGTACGAAACTGGCAAGCAAGGTCCAAAGGATAACATTGACATGCGTTGGAGGAGCATTGCGTTCAACTCCCACATAGACCCGCACGGTAAATATGATGTCTCCCCTCGACGTGACATCGGTGCTATCACAGAAGATATAACTGGGCACTGTTTGATTACTGGATACGCTAGGAGGTTGGGCACTCCGCTAACGGTTTTTGCAGGAGCTGCTCTGACGAGAAGGAAGAAGAGAAAATTATTTTAATCCTTCTAGTATTTATGATGTCTATGTGTAGTATAAGGCCTTTTAAACTAAATACCAAATTTTATGACTTGCATTCAAAAGTTCAATGTACTTATACGCATATACAATTTTTATTTCATAATAAAAGTTCGGTTTTTAAAAACTTTAATGTTTCTCTCCTTTTTCATGAAATGAAAATGTAATGCGTGACGATAGGAAAAATATTACTTATAAACAAAAATATTTAACATTTCATATTATTAGATTATTTAAATAATCAAATACTGACTGATTTAATGTGCAAATGCTTGTTAAAATATTTGTGTGCTTATTAAGGAATTTTTTGATTGCAAGTATATTTAATAATAAAATAATACAACAACCATATTAAAAGTTATAATCAATTTTAAAAAACTAAAAATTAATTGTTTTTCCTCTTTCCAAGTTTAACAATTGTCTTCAAAATAAAGGAAAATTTGAAGGTCCAACCTAGTAAGTAAAATAGATACATGCATAGCAAATTATTGGAAATTTTAATTGCGTTTCGTGGTGAAACTGCAAGAATATTTTTTTAGAAATAAGAATACATACTGCATATAATCTAATTAAGTTATAAAAAAAATTTTGAGTTTTCAATGAAACTACAAGAGATACAGATCTCTTGCCATAATTATTAGCTCCGTTTAAAAGGTTTACAAAAATGGATGTAACGTGCAAAAAAAAACAAAATATAAAAAAATGTGAATAAAAAACTATAATCTGTTTTTCTACATTCTTACAATTTGTTATACATATATACAATATACAAATTTTTTTATTTTTGTAGCTATAAAATACTTTCATATTAAAATTGCAAGAACGGAACTATTAAATTATACAACTCAGAGTTTTTGTTTGAAAAAAAGAACACTCGCATTTTATGCTTGGGACGTGTATATACACACACCTCTAAATATATAGGTATGTATATAACAAAAAAATAAATTTTTTTTTTTTATATAATAAAATAAATATTTATAAACAAACATTCTGCATAATTTGACTTTTTTCGTATAATATACAAAGTAAGTATACAATTATTTAATATTGTTAGTATATATGTATATAAGTTGTAATTGTGACAACGTTATTTAATGTATGAAAAAAAAACAAAAAAATAATTTGAAAATTAGGTCACGGTCATGAGCAAGAACGATTTTGTAATCATCATTATCGCAACTGTCATATTTTGTTTTACATATGTATGTTTGCATGTATGTACACACAAAAATTTTTCATTGTGTATTAAAAAATAATACTATTTAATACATGCCATCAATATAATCATCATCATCATCATTCTCATCATATTAAACATTATTTTTTAAATATTAACTACCAACAAGTTCTATTTTACTTTGTTCCTTCTTATCCCTTTAATACAACAATACAACAAAAAAAACAAAATGAAAATACAAATTTATATGTATATATATACCTATGTAATATAAAGTAAAATACCGTCATAAACACAAATAAAGCACAACAAGGAAACAAAAATAAATATGTACCTACACAATAATATTATGTATATTTTTAATATAGTAAAAAAATTATATTGTATTTAGTTTTTCTTTTTTTTGTGCGTACATAATATGATTTTCGTATTACAAATATATACACATATATGTATATTACGATGTACACATACATTAATATATTTTTACTTAAGAATTATGTGTAACCCTATAATCAATTTTCTTTCAAATATCAAAAACATTGGTTTTTTAAAATATCCATTTTTCATTGAAATACATACATATGTACATATATCAATGTTTTCCATTTTCATTTCAATTTAATTCTACAATATGTACGTAAAATACAATATACGTCGTAACGCATATAATTACATATGTATATAGGTGTATATTGATGACATATAGGTTTTTTATAATATTACACATATACCATTACATCGACTGGAAAATTTTCCTTCTAAGAATCTCTCTATCTCTCTATGCGTATAACCAAGACATCTTTATAAATAGGAGTTTATTATATTTATATATGGTACATTATAGGAGTTTATGGTATAAAATAAGAAACATTAACTTCATCTGTTATCGCTAACTTAAAAGTATACCGTAACATAAAATGAAATGAATCTTTTTTTTCTGTTATTGATAGCAAAAAAAGGGCAATAAGAAAAACTTATGAAACCTTACGAGTATAAGCAAAACTAGAAAGGCAAATAAATCTAAGCAAAAACGCAAAAAAGGATAACGAATATTCTTTTTACATGCTATTTTCTTAAGCATTAAATTTCCATTGAATTGATTTACAGGATTTTAAAAAAATTCCTTTTTTTTATCTTTATTTTTCCATATTATTATAAACTAATGTAAAATATAATAAAACGTATGTGTTTGTGTATACAAAAAGATTAAAATAAAAAACTGGCAACATTTTCTTATTATGAAGAAAATTTACGATGGGTCTGCGATAAAAAAAAATATATATGCGTATCTAAATATATGTATATGAAAATAATAAAAATTACTCCCTTATTACTTTTATTACGTCCAAATCCTATATGATAAATTTTTAATTTTCTTACTTTCATATCATTGGATATTAATTTATATTACAAAATATATACGCATCTGTGTATCAACATTTATAAGATTTTCTTTTAAATTTGTGCTTGTATAATCTACAATATGTCTATAATTTGAATAGTAATATACGTCTATAAATTCAATAATACACAATTTTGAAACATTGAATGTGTTTTAAATTTGTGTAGAAAAAAGTGAATTAATTCAGAGATTCTTTTTAAAAAAAATTATAAATTTATTAAGCAGTATTAGGTTAAATTTTATTATTTAAAATTGAGAATAACTATTTAAGAACAATATTTTTTTAAGTCCATGCGATACACAATGACAAGCTAAATATCATAAATTTTTAATGTCCGTCTGATCTTACACTAAAGACATCCAATACAGCTTATCTTACTTAGTTATATTGAAATAATAATATTACTGCATGAATATTTTTTTAATGTTATTTTTTGTTTTGTTTCACTTTTTTTGTTGACATAAACTTTAAATTTATTTTCTAATATAACTAAGTAAGAAATAATTTAGATCAGTTTATCTAGTTGTAATTGAAATTAAAAATAGATAATCTGATCTTCTACAGTCTCAATCTACAACTGTTTTTTAGTACTTTCTTTCGCAATTAAAACTTATTTTTAAATGTAATATATAAATTACTTTTGTATTTTATGGACATTACCATAATACAATAAAATAATTATATAATTACAATTATTCACTATTAACGACCGCATAGAAAGGTAAGGGAGGTTATGTAGTGGCACTAAATTTTGCATGTCAAGTTTTTGCGGAAATGTGTTTCTCCATGCCAGGGAAGCGTAAATAAACTATTTTTAGACAAATACCTATCTGGTTGTTTGTCTGTGTATCCGTTTGTCTATCTGTATGGCTGTGTTTCAGTTTATCTGTGTGCACTCCTGTATTTCAAGCTTAGTTGAACCGATTTTCACGAAAATTTATATCGGTGTTCACTTCGAGTAGGAGGTCGATTTAACATTTTTAACTCTTTTGAGGAAATAATCAACGGACTTTCCTGAAATTTTATGTGCAAGCCCTCTTTTACAGACAAATTTCCATTTTTGCTCATATTAATACTTTTTATATTTGCTCATACACATCGTATTTTTCAGAAATATTAGGGCACAGAAACAGAACTTTCATTAGTAGCCGATTTTACATTGTTTTTCGTATCTAAAAAACATATTAAAATTAAAAATTTGAGTCCTGGTTGATAAATGAACAGAAAATGAACCTCTACTCAGAACCAAACTTATATTTTCCTAGATATAGAAGATGGGTAGAAGCTAGAGGGTATTTTCTATTTTTTATAGAATTGCAATTAAGTGTTTAAAGGATATTTTTATAATCTTATGCAATACTACAGTCGTTTATACGTTGCTCATAACAGATCTTTTTTAACCTCTAAATAGCGGAATAATAGTAATTAACGAATAACCTAAATTCTTTACTTAACTAACTTCTTTTTAATTTTAAAAACGTTCTGGTTAATAGAAATGCACATACATGTATAAGGAAAAAATAAAATTGATTTAATGTAATTAAACTCACCTGATTTGCTTTATTTATTTGTTTTTTGAATCCAGCGAAAGCCATTTTTTCTGATTAATTTCTACAAAAAAGCAAAAAAAAAAACACTTATGCAATTTTTTTACATATTAATTCAAAAAAACCGGCTAAAAAATTAAATATTTTCCACAAATATAGTAATTTATTTTTAAAACGTACTGCAATCACAGCTGCTCTCCTGAAGGTTTTCAAAAAGAAAAATTAAAAATAAAACTAGTGTCGTCAGACTAGTAATAATTTTCTTTGTAGTTTTCTTATGTTTTTATTTAAAATTGATTTAAAAAAACTAAAAATATTTAAATAAAATTTAGGCTGAACGTACTCGTACGTTAAGTACGTTTATAATATAATTTTTTTTACAGCACCGTACAATATTAAATATTTCGCACCGTTATTACTTGCGCACTCCAAATATAGTTAGGAAATTGATTAAAACTGAAAGTATAAAGAAAAAAAGAAAAAATTAGTTTATTAAATGAAAATGAAAAATTTTACTTTTATATATTAATATAAATGTGTACAGGTATACATTTGTATATATATATGAGTACATTGGTATGCTTAAGTAGAATGAAGAGTGAAATGTATTATTAAACCGTCACATGTACACATTATTATTGTTGGAGAGAAATTATGACTATACTTTAAAAGTAGTCAAAATTAGTATGGCCTAAATAAAATTCCAGTTTGCATGATGCTAAAATATACAAAACGGTAAAGAAAATATAATAGTGACTGTTAATTATGGTTTTAAATAACGATAAATAAACGTATGTATAAGTACGTCATAAATATGCTTTCTCACATGAACTTCTTTAAAGGCATGGAAATCGAAAAATTTCCTTTTAAAAATCAATAGAAGTCTTAATATGAGTACATACAGATAGGATTTAATATGGATATTAAAAGTAGGAAAATCACTTAATATTTTGAACTTGAATAAATTAACGATAAACGCTGTAATTTTCTCAAGGTAAAATATACAAGGTAAAATAGTTGGTAACCAAGAGTTCTTACGTAGGACGTAGTAAAACTTAGAACTACAACACACTTTTTTTTTAAACTACAGCTACAAGTGATTTGATTACGGACATAAATTTCTAGTAAAGGTCTATGTACATATAAAATTTCAGCTTTCTATCTCCAAGGGTGTAGAAGTTCTGTAAACATTTCTACAAACGGACGGAAAGAGTGAAACTAATAAGGACTTTTTTCTAATTTTTTTTAGGAAAATTGTTTCAAATTATAAGTTTAAAATAAAAAATTATGACTCATTGCAAGTAGAGTAGAGAAACTTTAATTTCAATAATAATAATCTGCTTTTGTGGAAAAAGCAAGAATAATTATCTGCTACAAGCATTGAAATTCGTAATCACATATATGAAATAGATGGTGATTTCTAATAGTATAAGAATGAGTGAATTTTTTTTTAGTGTTTATAGTTAAATGTTAAAATTAATTTTTAATTCTATGGTTGCGTTCATCGCGGTTTCTTCCACTTGCCCGTTCATTTTTTGAAAATAAAAAAATATTACTTATGTGTTATATATTAAAAATGATTTTACAATTGGTTGTATAGTGAAATTTTTGCAAATTCGTAAAAACGTTGAAATGTCACATAAATATTGCATTAGATGACGTCTATGAATAATAATAGATATTAAAACTAAACAAACTAACTTCACTAGTATAAAAATTGTTCGTGTGGTGCAGAATCAGTTTATCATTTCATTATTAAACCATTAGTTTTAAATTAAATTTAAAATTAATACCATAACTACCACTTACCATAATACCCACAAAAATAATAAATTTCATTATTTCATAAATCTATATAGAAAAATTCAAAAATTTCACTTAATTTCAATTTAAAATATTTATTGATAAACTTCATTCAATATAACATTATTACATAATATGCAGGTATATATGCTTATACGTGCGCATGCAATGTGTACAAATATAATAATTCATCATATTACTGAAGAAAGTTAATAAATTTAAATTTACAGCTACTATTTTGAATTACTATCCATACATATAAGTACGTAAAGCACAAGATATTATTTGGGATAATATTTTTTTAATTGAATGATAAAAATAATTGATATTAACCTAAAATAAAATTCATGACTCTTTATGTTTAAGGTTAATATTCGAAAATATGAAATTTTGAGATAAAATTAAATTTATAATAAATAGTCTGTTATTTTAAATAGAACATAATATAGAATAAGAACAGAATGACACAGAATGAATGTATTTTCTATTCGCAATTTCAGGAAAATATAAATTCTTCAAGTGTTCCTGAGGCATTTAGGTCTTTTTAAACCTAGTGGGTTCCACCCCAAGCTCATTCTAGTGATATTATTGGCGGATTTTCTTAGACTGTATTTAATCCATTTCCACTTTCTTTATATTATTTGTATACCGATATATTCCTTGCCTTATATGATCAAGATTGCCTTATATATATTATTCTGAGGCATTCAGTTATGAACACTTGCATCTTCTGGTTAACGGATTGACACTTTCGCTGTCGTACAACAGAATCGATTTTACACAGGACTCTAATATTTTAAGTTTAGTCGATCTGGATATCTGACTGCTTCTTCATATCGGTTGTAGTCTGCCAAACGCGGTCCTCACTTTCTTCAGTGTGTTGTCTACATCTACCTAAGCGCCACTATTAAGTCTTATAATGTAGCAGAAACTGTTATTTGACGAACTCTATTTGTTGGCTTTTGATTTCCAGGTTGGCTATGCTAGATGAGTTTATTTTCATCGCCTTAGTTTGGACTATATGTTTATTTCTAAACCCACATGTGTAGCAAGTTGCTCAAGGTATTTTATTTGGTTCTGCATGTTGCTGTTTGAAAACATTGCTCGGATTAGCCCTATTATTTTTTAATTTTTTCGGCTGTTCCTTTTTCCTTATACGTATTGCGGTGGATTGTGTTGAAAGCTTTCTGAAGCCGATAAAGAATATATATAGCGGTGTTCCATACTCTATAGATTGTTGGGCTACGATTCGAAGTGTATTTGCTTGATCGACACAGCTCCAAAGCGGACGGAACCCAGTCTGTTCATCACGATGTTTACCTCCTATTTTTTCACTCAAGCTGTTCTAAATAATTGTTGCCAACACTTCCCAATTATAGCTGTAAGACAAATTGCCCTTCTTATGTTAGTGTAAGGTTATTATACCCATACGAACGTATGTTCAAAGGGTGTACAAAATTTGCCTTATCGTTTGTAACGCTAAGAAATATTGTCCTGAGATATAGACTCAAGTGTATGTTTTTGATCAGCGTCGAATTCTGAGTTGATTTAGCTTTGTCTGTCTGTCTGTTCGTCCGTCCGCCCGTCCCAGCGATAACTCAAAAACTAATTGAGCTAAGTTCACCAAATTTTCACAAATGATTTATTGTAGTAAGTTCCAGAACCCTATTTAAATTGGACATAATCGGGGTACTGGTTCGGGTAGCTGCCATACAACTTCAAAATTTATTTAGCTATATCTAGAAACTATTAAAGCTGTGATATTGAAATTTCACACAAGCGAATATATTAGTAAGACCGATGTGTTTGATAAAATTCCTTAAAATTGCTTAGCTCTTTCTGGTAGCTGCCATACAACATAGTTGTCATAGTAGTTTGGCACACACAGTATTTTGAAGAAGCAGTACTGATATTTTGCATAAATTAATATGATAATACGGCAACTTAAAGTCATAGTCTGTTCCATAGTCAGTTATGGCATATTTATTCGCACATAGGATAACAAATTCGTACGGGTATGACAAGGTAAACTCTATTTTTTCTCGTATTTTTTATTGTTTTTATTGTTGCTGTTATACATGTTGGATACAAAATTAAGCTAATATGCCATATTAATTTCATATTCAATTTATATATTTTTAACTATATTGGAACCGCTGTGTCGAATAGTTAATGCAGCACCTGTGGAACTAGCAAAAATAGAGCATTTTTATTGAAATTTCAATAATTAATTTTCGCATTAAGTTTATGATACACCTACTTATTCACTTAATGTGGAAAGTTTTAAATAACTTTGAAAACAATGTTATTTGTTAAGTGCATAAAATTAATTCAATTTAATTATTATTAATTAACAATTGAATTTTAAGACAGGTAATTTTTTAATGAAAAAATAAAATCAACAAGTTATTTAATATTTTGTATATAAAAAAATTTTATTAAAAATTGTTAACTTAATCAATGAAAATACTTAAATACCCAATAATTATAAGAACAATAATATCATAATTGAATTGAGTAAAAATTTTTATATTAAATTATAATTTATTGAAATTTTACTGTAACATCACTTATTTCATAAAAATAAACCAACATATTTTTACATACAAATGTATGTATTTTAATAGTACATAACTTCGTTAGTTCTATATTAAAAATAAAATTAAAATTTTTGTTATAGAATTAAATTAACGAAACTCATAAAATTACGCGTTATGCATAACAGTAAAAATCACGAAATTACAGCACAATTAATTTCATAATTTTAAACGATAATTTTCTCGTATACTTAAATGTTTTCATTTTTGATATCACAATATATAAATTGCAATACATAAATTGTAAGTGAATATCTTCTACTTAATATACATATACATAATATTTTATTTATTATATGTGTTTGTATGTATTAGCTTTCCGAAAAAAAAAACAATTCTATCTAGAACAGCGTTTTAAATACACCAATGTACTATAATCATTTATTATACACAGAAATCACTCTTTCTATTTCATGATAACTTAAAATTATTAACAGTTTTAATAAAACAATTTATACACACACATATAAAATATAAAAAAGAATTCGTTTTTTTTATATTATTATACATATTATATGACAAAAAATTGAAATGTAAAAAAAAATTTGCGTTGATAAGTAATGATTGTAATAATATGAACTAATGCCGCATTATTTGAAGAGAGGGCGACCGTTTAATAGTTCAATTTAATAAAAAATACGTAATTTTAGATTGATGTCTTCATGATGTCGCCAATACTCATTTAAATATTTTTATACTAAAATCATTCTAAGACTTAAAAAAATAAATATTATTAAAAATTCTTTTGCGTGAATTCTGATTAATGAGGAATTCTATTTTTCTTTGAAAATAAAGTGGGACCCACCTAGTATTACTTTATATATCCGTCTATATACGAATCAAAGGCATGAAAATAAAAGATTAAATAAAAATGCATTTCACTCAACAACGAAAAAAAGTCTAAAAATTTAAAAGCGAAAAAATATCAACCAGAATTTCGTTTTGTCACAAAGAAATGGAAAAATCATAAAAAAAAAATAAAATAAACATTGATTTTTCTTTTTTAGAAATAGAATAGCAGACATTGCTTTAGAGTTCCGGGTTTATTTGTTGAGA